TGGCTTATTTCGCTGAGCATGATCCCTTCCAGCGCCATCCATGTTGCTGCAAATTGCATGTGTTTATCTTTTTTGAATGCTGAGTAATATTCCATGGTATATATGTACCACATCTTCTTGATCCAGTCATCTATTTTTGGGCATTTGGGTTGTTTCCAAAGCTTAGCTATTGTAAACAGTGCTGCTATAAACATAGGAGTGCAGGTGCTCTTTGGAATTGATGTTTCTGTGTCCTTTGGGTAAATACCTAGGAGTGGAATTGCTGGATCATATGGAAGCTCTATGTTTAGTAGGTCCAGAAATCTCCACACAGCTCTCCATAGTGGTTGGACCACTTTGCACTCCCACCAACAGTGCACAAGAGTTCCTTTTTCTCCACATCCTCGCCAACATTTGTTGTTGCTAGTTTTTTTAATATGTGCCATTCTCACTGGTGTGAGATGGTATCTCATGGTAGTTTTGATTTGCATTTCCCTGATTACAAGTGATGTTGAACATTTTTTCATATGTCTGTTGGCCATTTGCATTTCCTCTTCAGAGAAGTTTCTTTTTAGCTCTTCTGCCCATTTTTTGACTGGATTATTTTCTTTGTTGTTGCTGAGTCTCATCAGCTCTTTGCAGATTTTTGTGATCAGTCCTTTATCATTAGTGTTGGGTGCAAAAATGTTCTCCCAGTTGGTGGGGTTTCTCTTTGTTTTTGTTATTGTCTCTTTTGCTGTGCAGAAGCTCTTTCAAGCTCAATATTCTTCTTTTGTTCAGAGGATACAACTTTCAGATTTTTCACCGTATTGACAATATGCTTCCATACCAATTTAGTATCCCTGTTAAATCACAGTGCTCAGAACTGAACATGATACTCCACTTAGTCTCCAAGTGAAAGGTTTGGTGGGACATTTTTCCCTGACATCCTTCTTCCTTTGCCTGCCTAGCTTTATTTTTCATCCTTTTAAAGTCTCTACTCAAAGTATTTCATTCATAAGCTGTGCCTGGCTCCATAAGGTGCTGGAGATACATCAGTGAATGAGACAAATGTCCTTGCACTTATATGGCTTAGAATCCAGCTGGAGAGAAAGACATAACTAACTACATAGTTGATCAACTAATTGCAACTGCAGTAATTGCAAAGTATACAACCATCTGAGTGTGAGTTAGAACTATGGGTATATGTGCTTATGGTTCTTCCTCATTATTGCACTTAACACACTTTATTGTAATCAGTTGTTTGTCTTTATTCTCCACAGTGAGTGGAAGGTAAAGACATTAACTATACTGTATTTTTATAGTTTGGTAGAGCTTCTGTTGAATAAAAACACTGAATAATTATTTGTGGAATGCATGGTTACATGATCAAATGGACTTGACCAAAATAATAAATTAGTGAGGCAAGATAACACTTGAACTTAGGGGTCTAATTTTCATACTTTTACCTCTCTACAGAATTATCAATAAATGATAATGATTCTAGTAAAAGTTAATGTTAGCCTATTAACAACAAATTAAACCATTAACTTACACATACACATTATTTATGCACTGTGCCTGCTCCATGAAACTATGTACATATATGTGGCATACAATATATATCTTACACTACCATGGATACACTAGTGACCTTATATTTCTTACTTAGTATTTTGTAAGGGGATATGTTAAATTAACATATAAACTTATTTAACTGAAAAATTAAAAAATGAGCTTATGCCTAAATAAATGCTACCAGTGGTAGCAATAGATTATATATATATATCAAGTACTAATACATAAAAACTTGGGGCTATTATATTTAAATTCAATAAAAAGTAATTCCTTAAATGTATAATTCAAAATTTATGCTTCAAAGAATGATGTTATGACAGAAAAAAACTCTTGTACATGATAAAGGAACAGTTCACTTACTATAAGTACATATTCACAGTACGGTCAGGCTACCATACTAACAGTGAAAGAATTAAAATATTTCATTTTATTTGGGTTTTCTCTTGAATTTATAGAAAGTACAAATACAATACCTACATTGCTAGTGCATCTTTTACTTTCTTCCAAAAGTAGTCTAGTCTTATGGAATAACCTAGGTAACGAAAGGGTATTAGCGCCATCTAGTGAAAGAAGCCGGCAGAAAGTAATTCCACAAGGAGAGTGCTACTTGAGAGCCAGAAGAAAATTGCTTATGGAGCAGTGTAACAATCCAATTCAAGAAAATAAAGAAAACTGTAGCAGTAACATCTACTTGTATTATATTTTGTTAATTTATGTGGAACTTGAAAAAATTTCAGCTATTAATATTACCTTTGTTTTAAAAATCTAAATATAATAATCATTTAAAAATTAACAAAGATATTCTCATTATGGAATGTCTGAAATGAAAATAATTTGCTATGCTGGAGGTACCACTAGATAAATACAACCCCATTAATACACTGTCCTGTCCTCTAACCTGTAGCCAGATGTAAAGGGTTTTGGCTTTTTCCCACAGGCTTTGGAAAGCCATCACACATTTTGTACTGGGAAGATTATTTTGGTGGCTGTATGCAGGATGGATTTGCATGGAAAGTGTCTTGAGAATTATAAGCATCTGGGGGTGGATAGTAATCCACACAGGAGAAGTGAAGGCTTGGACTGAAATGGTAAGTGGGCTTGGAGATCATTATAACAGGCAGGATGTCTCTAAACTATTGTAGCAATTTTCTAAAATTTGGTGATTCCCCCCTCTTACTAGATGGCAAGTTCTTTGAAGAAGAATTGCTTTGGCATAAATGTTAAATAATGATTTAATTAAAATATGTGCAGAAGTCATTACTTCAATCATATAACATGTGGAGAAAAAAAGGTACAGTGGTTTTTTTCCAAACTATTTTTAAAAGATTATTCTTGTGGAATTTGAGAGAAGTCTTATATTACTCATGTAGATTACCATAACAACTCTGAAATGTATGAACATTTTATCATAATTACAACTTTTATCTGGTGGATGAAAAAAGTTTGAAATAACTTGGTCTTTTTTTTTTATTAAATTTTTTTTTCTTTCTTTTTTTATTAGATTTATTTATTTATTTATACAAGCACTGGGTACAGTCGGAAGCACGGGAGGGTGAGAGAATTCACCAGAGCCAGATCGGGGAACAGAACAGGCAGAGTGACGAAGTACACTGCTGAAGGTAGCAGTGGGCGGCAGGAGAGGTCTGCATGCCATGTGGGACCCTCCCCCCGGCGGCCAGGGAGCAGCCAGGGATCGAACCGGCGCCGCAGAGGCCGCGGGCAACCTCGCAACCCAGCGCTCAACCGCTGCGCCACCGGTGAGGCCCATAACTTGGTCTTTTTATATTGCATCTTTGAATAAAAAGGTCAACTCATCTATTGTCATTCCTTTTTTTTTTTTTGCTCCTGCCTCCTTAACAGCATTTTTCTAAGTCATAAAAGGAGGATAAATGATGGTTTCTCTAATTAAGAAAGGGGCAAAACCTTAGAGTCCTAGGTCTGTTCTCAGATTGGGAAGAATGAAGGATTTAGACAAGAGCAGAAACCTCTTCTTTGCCTCAGAGGATTTCATTGCTCTAAGCTCAAAATATTTTGCATGTCAGAGTAGGGCATCTTGAGGGAAATAATTCTTAGAAAATTGGGGTGGTCTGATGCAGGTACCTTCATTATGAAGTCTCCTTTGTTAAAGACGGTATAGTATAGTAATCTCAGGGAAGGCAGTGTCTTGAAAAGGAGAACACATATTTTTCATAAAACCAACCGCCTTTTATAACCATTTGATCAATAACTGAGGTCAGCTCTCAGCATGCCACAGGATAACAAGTATAAATTTTGATGCAGGAGAATAGGCTTAGCCTCTAAATTAATTGTGGTATGAACATACTTAGTTCTACAACTTTAATGTCATCTATAAGCATATTATTTTCAAAATTTTGTTTGCAACCTGGGCCTCCTTCCTCAGATCCAACTGTGCACTCATTATCTCTACATTGTCATTCCTTTTTAAAGAATATAGTATGATTTGGGCCTCCCGGGTGGTGCAGCAGTTGAGAGCTGGGTTGCGAAGCTGCCCGCAGCCTCTGCAGCACCGGTTCAATCCCCAGCCCCCGGAGAGGGTCCCACATGGCGCAACAGACCTCTCCTGCCGCCTGCTGCTCCCCTCAGCAGTGTATTTCATCAGTCTGCCTGTTCTGTTCCCCGCTCTGGCTCTGGTGAATTCTCTCACCCTCCCACGCTTCTGACTGTACCCAGTGCTTGTATAAATAAATAAATCTTCTTAAAAAAAAATATATATTATGATTTATTGTAAAATGTTGACAGTCAGGAAAACTACTAATTTTTTTCAGATATATACATGAAAGGAAAGCTTTCAAGTCTTGCCTTCAAAGCAAAATATGTATACATGTTTAAAACCTACCTTTCCAATCTGGTTAACAGGAAATTAATAACACAAAAATCAGGACAATGGTTAGCTCTGGGGGAGGAGCAATGAGGAACACGAGACTTCAAGTTGCTGTTAATGTTTTGGTTCTTAAGGTACAGGAGAAATGGGGTATTATTCTTTAAATGATACATGTATGCTTAAATACACTTTTAGGTGTATTACATTACTTCACATTCAACAAGAATCTTTTTTCCACTCAATGTCAAGATTAAATTATACTGCCTTCCAAAAGGGAGCCAAAACGACAAAGGGTTTACACTGAAGATAAATATAAACTAATAAAAACAAGAGTATATAGCCTATAAAAATTCACTTGTACTATTTCAACTACACAGCAACACGATTAGTATAACAAAATAAAAATTAATTTTATGCTTGCTATATTGCAATCTAAAATTCTAAAATACTCTAACCAAAAGTTTTCCCTTCTTAGATCCTTTACTCTGTAGCATCTAACAGTATTTTGATGCTAGAAGGCATAACACACATTTCTATTCACTTTAATTCCTAAGTTAGCAGATCCCAATAAGGTTGACCATTATATCAGAAATCTGAACAGTCATAGTTACCAGGTACATACCTGAATTCAGGAAAAACTGGGGAGAGTCTCCATGGATGCCCACTGTGCCTGGTCCCAAGGAGTTAGACAGCGTATTTACAAAGGAAAATACTCCACTCATGATTCCAAAACCCAAGCCAGAAACTAAGGAGGAAGAAAAACACTATTAAAATCTATTCATGCTATGATTTCTTTTCAAAGCAAAGTTCCAAGGATTAAGGAATATTATTTTTTTGTTAAAGGGAAGAGTATACATGCTGTTGGAAAAGCAATAGAAAGGGCTCCAAAAAGGCAAGTGCTTGGAAACCATGGAGTGTAACCATGGAGTGTAGCAGAGAAATGAAAAAGGTAAGAAAAATATCTAGACAGGCACAGAATCAATAGGTGAGACAAAGATGGATATGATGCTAACGTGTGGCTTTACTTTATGATAATGGAGTCAGTGGAATTAAGTTTGACAGCTTGGAATTGTATTTGATGTGTGAGTGGATTTTATAAAAAGCGATCCCTGGGTTAAACTGGGGTAACTAAACTTAATGACCTAGACCCAAACCCATCCTTTAAAATTTAATTCTGCAAAAAAAATATATAGAGAGAGGTATAGTCTATATTAATAGGAAGAGTCCTAGTATAACCAAGTCATGGTAACCACCTACAGAGGTAATTGTAATATCACATAAAATTGTTAACTTGAGTGTATACATGTTATAAACCTAACTTTTAAACCTTGTTAATATTTAGTGGGTACACAGAGAAGAGTTACCTGCAATAATTTCCCTTTTACATAGGCCCTAGAAAGTTGGAAAAAGAATGTACACCAATAGGCCAAGGTAGTAATAAAATACTACTTGAAACCTACAAAGAAATAAAAAATAAAAATGGCTTTTATGCCAGATCTCATATTTTTTCTTAATGACATCAGGCAGTTCTCACTTACCATAAGCCAGTAATCGCATAGAGGGTGCGGGTTCATCTGGGTTTATACTCTTCAAACCCTCACTGGCTTTCCTAAATTAAAAACACACAATTTTTGTAATATATCAGGAAAATAAACAATATACTTCAAAATCCAAATACTTACTGAGACTTTGAGCAGCTTACTCTAAATCTAAAACCTGTTTAAACAAAATCCAACAAATTTTCAGTTAACTTTAAACCAACCAACTTAAGCCTTTTACTGACTTCCAGATAGAAGAGAAAAAAAAAATATAAGTAAACAAGCCATTAGGATTGAGTTTAATAAGAGAAAAAGCAATCCTTCCATAATTTATTGAGCTCAAATACTTATGGCATCCAACACTGAATTTTAATCCACTTCCCAAAGTACTCTATTTTCATCCCTACTTTGTTGGTGCTTTGTTGTATCTTCTGTCTGGGTTATATTTACTTTACCACCACCTCTACCTTCCACTGTGTGTAACCTAAATTGTGTTTATTCAAAATTCATTAAGGCAGCAATTTCTCAAAGAAGCCACCTTTACCAATGGTTGGTAAACATTAAACCCTCCTTATTCTTAAATGCTACAATACTAATGGTCTGAACTCTCACATGGGTACCTAAGGATATTCTCCTGATTCTAAAATATCAGGAAATATTTTAAATTATTTTTACATCCTCAAACAGGTTTCAGGGGAGACTAAAATGCTACTTTCAGAAAAGGAAGTGACTATGTGACTGAAACAACAGAATACTGCTCAGTAAGAAATAATCTTTGGAGTCATCATATTCATATTTCTGTGGTAGATAATTCACAAATACACCATGAGTACTGCCTACCCCCCTCCCCACCCCCATGGATTTATTAGGCATGCTTGATATGGTTGGTCATTTCCACCAGTGTCACTATTACTAACCTTGGTTGACTAGAAAGTGTGACAATGATACTGAATGATACTGACTCAAAGGATATATTTATATATTCACTACAAAGTACAATTATTAAAGCAAAAATAGAACCAAACATTTCAGAACACCTTTTCAACAGTTCTTAAACAAAAATAAGTTAGGTTAACTCTAAAAGTAGGAAAATAGATTAACCAGAATACACTTATATTTTGGTCACTATGTTAACTTAAATTTCAAGGTATGCATATTCATTACAGTTTGCACACTCATTACATAAAACATCATTGATTACATCAAATTAAGACAATCAATATTCAACCAAAATAGGGCCTTCCCGGTGGCGCAGCAGTTGAGCTCCGGGTTGCGAAGCTGCCCTCAGCCTCTGCAGTGCTGGTTCAATCCCTGGCTGCTCCCCGGCCACCGGGGAGGGTCCCACATGGCACGCAGACCTCTCCTGCCGCCCGCTGCTCCCCTCAGCAGTGTACTTCATCACTCTGCCTGTTCTGCTCCCCGCTCTGGCTCTGGTGAATTCTCTCACCCTCCTGCACTTCTGACTGTACCCAGTGCTTGTATGCATAAATAAATAAATAAATAATCTTTAAAAAAAAATAAAAAATGAAACTGCAGAAGTAATAGTCTTAAAAAAAAATTCAACCAAAATAGTAACAAGAATATTTTTTTTTTAGATACTTTATTTTATTACTTATTTTTTTAAAGATTTATTTATTTATTTATACATGCACTGGGTACAGTCAGAAGCGCGGGAGGGTGAGAGAATTCGCCAGAGCCAGGGTGGGGAGCAGAGCAGGCAGAAGGACCGAAGTACACTGCTGAGGGGAGCAGAGGGCGCCAGGAGAGGTTTGCGCGCCATGTGGGACCCTCCTTGGGTGGCTGGGGAGCAGCTGGGGAACGAACCGGCGCTGGAGAGGCTGCGGGCAGCTTCGCAACCCAGTGCTCAACCGCTGCACCACCAGGGGAGGCCCAACAAGAATAATTTTAAGAGTCCTTTGCTCTTCTAGATGCAAAAGAAAGAATTTGCCATTTCAGTGTTCTTCATTTGGAAACATCATTTGGTAGTAAGGACATGAGTCAAAAACTTAAGTGACTGTTGTCCTCTCTCTTTGGAGCAGTAACCAATTACAACGTCTGGTTTTCCTAAATAAACTTAATTGTCACAGGAACGTTGTTAAAGGCTAATTATAGCTTAGACAGACATACACACATACATATGCAAATATAAATAGCAATTATCAACAAATGCATAGAAAGGTATATATAGTACAATAGAATCAACACATTTTGAAGGATTTGTTGCTCAGTAATGAATAAAAGATATTTGCTATTTGGTAAAGTATTGCAATCACAAATAGATTAAATACATACACATGAATTCAAACGTTTCATAAACTTCCTCGTTTTTGATGTTGCAAGTTTGTGGGGGAAAGGTCTGTGGCACTAATAGTTCTCAATACTAACATAAGGAAGTGCAAAAGTACGAAACATTGTCAGTTTCCGTGTTCCTGATGGATAGAATAAATATTTGATGGCTGAAGGGCAGTGTTTTTAAGTTGACCATTACACTGATGTGAAAACTTCTTTGTTTGAAAGAACAAAAAAGTAAAAGCTCATTTTTAAAAATATAAATTCGAAAAACTACCAATAAAATCATACCATACTGTCTTTCTCATTTGTTCTTTTTGCATGTACATGTAAGGGAAGGCATCAAGAAATATGCATATAAATTAGATATGTCATTTCAGAAATTTTAAAAATAAACTCTTAAAAACTGTAGCAATGGTTATCATATTTTTTTTTAATAAATGGAAGATTTTCTAAAATTACCAAATATTTATGGTATCAGAATTATAAGACTTTAAAATTGAATAAGTTTCAACCCAAACAAAAAATATTTCTAATGTACATTTTAGGCAAAATACAGTATCATAACTTGGATTTTTTTTTTAACGGATGTAGAAAGGGCTATCACTTGTGGTCACATATCAATTCCTAATCTTGTAACTCCTTGCTAAGCTGAAAGTTATAATTTCACTCAGTCAGTCAGTCAGTCAGTCAGTCAAGATGAAGGACTTTTCCTGAGGTTTGACCCAGGAAATAAGTTTATATTACACTGCAATGATAAACATTTTGTATCAATTCCATACATGTATAAAAACTGGTTGGTGCAAACTCCACATTTTAATCTTGGCACCAAATTCAGTAGCAAATATTTGACAGAGGTAGTACTTTTTTTTATTTAAATATTTTATATAATTCTTACAACTTTTTTCATCTTTGCACAATGTATGCATTTTCATTTTGGTTATATTCCCCATACAATTGAATCCCCTCCCTTATTTTGACTCTAATCCTTCCTTTCCCCGCTGCTCCCTCCCCCCCACCTCAGTGTGTCTCTGCTTTATAGTTGCTTGTTGATTTTGATTTTTACTTTGTCTTGATTAGTCTTTTTCCTGGTCTCTTATTTAGGTTTTCTAAATTCCTGCCATGAGTGAGACCATCCGGTATTTTTCTTTTTCTTTCTGACTTATTTTGCTGAGCAAGATCCCTTCTAGCTCCATCCACGTTGCTGCAAACTGCATGTGTTTATCTTTTTTGATTGCTGTGTTATACTCTATTGTGTATATGTACCACATCTTCTTGATCCAGTCATCTATTTTTGGGCATTTGGGTTGTTTCCATAGTTTAGCTATTGTAAATGCATAACTACATAATATCCAACATTTCTAGGGCCTCCCCGGTGGCGCAGCGGTTGAGCGCTGGGCTGCAAAGCTGCCCGCAGCCTCTGCAGCGCTGGTTCGATCCCCAGGCACCGGCAAGGATCCCACATGGCGCAACAGACCTCTCCTGCCACGTCCGCTGCTCCCCTCAACAGTGTATTTCGTCAGTCTGCCTGTTTTGTTCCCCGCTCTGGCTCTGGTGAATTCTCTCACCCTCCCGTGCTTCTGACTATACCCAGTGCTTGTATTAAAAAAAAAAAAAATCCACCATTTCTAAAACTTGCTATGAAAAACTGTACAATAATCCAAGAGCTCGTTAAAGAGGCATTTTGCCTCTCTGAACTCACTGACAATAGGAGTCTGCAGACTGACAGCCATAATCCCTTCCTTATGTGGACTTAACCCCTCATTGCCCTCATTAAAAATGGAGACTTGGGTTCAGCTTGTAGTCCCATGGAACCATAGGTTAATGCCACTGAAAGATTTCATTTCAGGAGGAAACCAGGAAGTAAGAAGGCAGTGAAGAACAAAGAGTAAGATACTCATTTAGCCACTTCAGTTAAGTCAGACTTTAGAACCTGAAGTTCTAAGGGGTCACTAACTGTGAAGTTCTGTATTTCAAATTATGTTTGTTTCAAAATTAGAATTATCACATGTGAAAAAGCTGAACCAATAGGAGCCAATGGTGCTGCTGACAGGAAAACCTAGTGCAACCAGAGGCTGCGTTATTACAAGCACAGCCTCTAGGCAGGGGTGAGGAGGGTCACTGCTCTTTGCACTCCTTAGACCACAGCAGAGTACTGAGCTAGGTCCTAGTACAGGTGCACACCAGTGCTGACAAAAAGGGGCATGCCTACTGACATGAAAGAACAGGGACCAGCAATGGTCTGGAAGCCACCTCTATGTCTCTTGGATAAATGAGAAGTTTTTAGTCTTGAAAGAAACAAGATGACAAACATAACAGAGATTCCACTTGCCTAAGCAGCCCATGAAGGGGACAGAGGTGAGAAAGGAGATTTTGACTATTTTATAATACTCTAGAGTAAAAGTTAAGTTTCAGAATGGCAGTTAACTGCTGCATACCAGACTATTCAAACACAGTTAAATGTTAAGAATACAGTATTCCTGTGGAAATTTAAATGCCATCTTTGCAATCTGTTTGTTGCTTTTTAATATTTCCAAGAGATAATAGAAATAAATCTCTTTTTTAAACCATTTCTAAGATTTTGCTTCTATGCATTGGCGTCCTAATTTTCAATTAGTAATTTAAATGTTTCATTATTAAATTTTAATATGTTATTAAAAGCAACAAGTAAGAAAACACAGAAGGCCTGGCATATTGGCAAGAACAAATCATCAGAAACCTATTATAAGAGATGTTATTGAGATGTTATGTCTTGGTTACATCTGTGAAATTTATGTAATACTTAATTATCTCATTTCCAGAAACAAAAAGAGAATATATTTATCACTCTACTAACCAAGTCTTAACTATATAACCAAAGTCAACCTCATGACTCCCTGAAAGAAAATATAGTTCCAAGATCAAGTTGTGTTTCAAATCAGTTGTTTCATGTGAGGTCTTCATGGACCCCACAGGTGACCTACTTTCTGGCCTAAAAAGGGAACTCATGTCCAGTTGTTGTTGTTGTTGTTGTTGTTTTTAAAGAAAATGTGTTTAACCACATGGTGCAGCAGACCTCTCCTGTCTTGCCCGCTGCTCCCCTCAGCAATATATTTCAGTCATTCTGCCTATTCTGCTCCCCACTCTGTCTCTGGTGAATTCTCTCACCCTCTCACACCTCTGGCCTACACCCCAGCTCTTGTATACATAAATAATCTTTAAAAAAAAAGCTAAAGCTGGTAGATTATTATTATGATTTATAAAGAAGAATTGAAAATAGCCAGTACAGTTCTAAATACAACTTTTTTTGCCCCTCATGTTGACTCAAAAGACAATACTGTCACAATTCAATCTAAAGAAGTTGAGAGGAAAATATTAGTCAAAGAGAGAACTTCACTTCACAGTGATTTATGTGGATGTTATTGTCCATATAACCCAGGGTTAGGTATTAAAGACAATAATAAATTTTGATTCAGATAGGATAGTTCACAAAAGACTGAAGGATAAAGCCATGGAAAACTAGGTCTGTGACAAGAAATGAGGAAAACAGACCACTGCTGTTTTAAGATGGAGCGTAAGCACAGTCTAGATTCTAGTAGAAATTATTTGGATATATATTTCAGTTCACCTTAAAAGAAAGCATGAAGTACTCAGTGGGTTATAATTACAAAGATAGGAAGAATTTCCTTATGAATTAACTAGAAATTAAAATTTTCTCTGGGAGAATTGTGTGAACTTGTCTTTGGGAAATGGATGAACACAACTTGCTATGCACAATTTGATAAAATGAATATTGAGCTTGAAACTCTTTTAAAGTTTGTTGAAAACTGCTTATGGAAACCATTAGCTGGCAAAAATGACTATTTTGCAGTAAGGGAGAAAATGGTTGATAGCAGTTCACAAATCTGAAGAATGTATTGTGACCTTGATCTTCAAATAATGAGCAATTAGAGAAATATCTGTATGAAAACATGCTGAGCTCACCTGTCAGGGAGTCGGGTAAAGCACAGGCAACAGAATGAATGTAAGTTTACATTGCTGTCTTGCATGAGTTAAAAATATGTTTAGGACAAATGTTAGCAAGATGTTTGTACCTGTCTCTCTAGTACCCCTGTGGTTTCTGGCTTTTGTGAAAAACACTTGTCTCTTTTCAGAAGACCCTCTAAGAACTTACTGCCTGAGAAACTACATTTCAGTAGCAACTATGAACCTAGTCACCTAAACCATTTTGGCTTTCCCAATTATATGAGGGATTATGGACCCAACAGAAATAGTTTCTTTAAAACTACATTAAATTTTTATTGTGAATTGTTACTGCTTGAATTCTATTTTAAAGAACATATGATAACAAGTGCTGCTGATTTTTTAAATTGATCGTTGGCATCTTTACTCTGATGCTGTATGTTTTAATGGTTATATTCTCAGTTGCTTACTGTTGTTTATTAAAAGCTTGTTATTTAAAATAAAAATTTTTAAAGGTCAAAAATAAGAATTATGTGAACCTCCTATTACCTTTTCTCAATTTATTTATCCATGTATTAGCCTTGCACATGTGGCTTTATAACAGTGAATCAGAGTATATCCCTGGAGAAAGCTGGTGCAGTTGGAAGAGATGAATTTGCAGTAACTAACTTTGAAAGCTTAAAGTCAATTAAAACTTTTGGGAAAATATTTAATTATAAAATAGGATTGAATATGTAAATTTTCCATATGAAACACAGAAATAGCAAAATTTGGAAAGTTTATCATTATAATCTCTGTAAAAATCACATAAAAATTCCTATTAAGTGAGAAAAAACTTTTCAAGAATTTCATTGGTTTTTATACAGATAAAACATATAAATGGAGGCACACGATGGCTGGCTGGCCATCTTTTTATGTCAGAGGTTTATTATTAGTCTGATTCCTTCACTGTAAAGTTACCATTCAGCCTTCCACCAGGCAATTGTAGCAACCCCTAATCATTCTTGCCTAAATCCAGTATTTCATTAGGTGCCACAAAATAGTATTAAACAAGAACCCTTTTTTAAAATTAGCTATAATGATGACTATTAGATATAATTAGTGATAGTATTTTTTAATAAAACTTTCCCAATCAGCTATTTGACTACCCTGAAATATAGGTTGGCAGGATGAATGCTAGATTCTTGTCATTTACATATTGATATTCTTTCCCAGTGCCTAGGATAGTGCCTGGCATTGAGTAAATTCTCAAATGCTTTTGAATGAGTAAATGAAGGAAGAAATCGTCACAAAGCTAAAACACTTTTTTTAAGATGGTTATACACCAACTCTTTTGACTTTGAGCTATGTAAAAAGGTATGATTCCTCCAATGTCACACTATATTACTATTTTAAATTACTAAACCATAATTTAAATACAACTGGGGGGAAATGCTATGTAAACATTTGACTTACTTTAAAAGTCTATAATAGGCAAACCGGAACAATTCTTGGATAAAGACTGAGACTAATACTCCAAAGATCAGCAGATACTTCGGTGTTGGTTCATCTTTGTTGCCAGTAATGGTTCCTGCCAGGAACCAAATAAAGGAGGAAAACAGCAGAGACACCAACCAAAAGAAAGCTCTGAAAATCAGGGAAAAAACAAAGTTATGAATGAATGCAAGTATAGGGTTAATAATGATTTAAAAGCAAAGAAAAAAATTTTAAAAGACCTGCTTGAGAAAGAACCGACTTCCTGACTCTTTAGTAAAGAAAAAAAATCCTAATAAAGTGATGTTCTGGATCAAATGATGTATTTTCCCTGATGAGACGAACATGTAGTACAGGAGGAGTATGAGAGTTTTCTACAAATCACTCTTTTTCAGTGAGTGCGTTATTTGTAAGTACATCTGCACACTCATTATGCCAAGGACAGTCTAGCTGGAAACTGATTATTTGCTATTCTTCTTAACTGGTGCTTTGTCCATTGAGGTGCAAGTATATCCTTTCCAGAAAGATCTCTACAGCTCTATTAACAGTGACAAATGGGAATAAAATTCAGAAGCTGAGAACCCGTTTTTTGTTTTGGTTTGTTTGGATGGGGATGGTATAGATTTAATATTTTGTTAGTACTACAATGTTCATATTAAAAAGCTGAAAGTAAAAAGGTGCTGCAGATTTGTACATTAGTCTCATTTATTGTCTGAGACAGCTGGCAGAGGTGGGGAGATATGGTCATGGCTCCCCAGCTGGTAGGAATGGGATGGGGGCAGGGAGAGCCTGAATCAGACTCGCATCCACCTAGAAAGCTTTCTTCTTTCAAGGCCCTAAAAATATCCTTCTGTCACTGCGAGGAGGGTAAGTGCAGCTGCACAGAAGGGGATTTGAACACGCTTTAAAAAGCTTTTGCCCAAATCTCTATTGCTTCTAGTATGACACATGTGATGCTGCCCTTACAATACAGTTGTGAGAGGTGAAGCAGCACAGAGAAGGTGGGAAAACACTGGCCTAATCTGGCTGTTTCTCCTGGTGCCAGTGAGACTCTAAGGGTCAGGTAGGAGGACGTGGCGAGGCTCACAAAGAGCCGCCAGGCAGGTGGAAACTGGGATTATGGCCACATTGGCCACGAGTGTTCGGTATTTACCAAGTGCTTTGGTGTTTTCACAGGTTTCCACCCTTCAGCTGGAGACCAGAATCACCTGGGCGCTTTTAAAAAGATAATCAGCCCCAATCCCACCCCCAGACATTCCGAATCAGAGGACTCGGGGTAGGGGTCGAGCATCTGTGGGTTCCAAAGTCCCAGGTGCGCAGGTGCTCATATATATGGTCCTTAACGCCTCCGGGGCTACAGCTGCCCGTGAGAACGAGGCAAACCGGCGCTCTCGAGAAAAATGAAAGATGCGTATTTGAACGTGTCCACATATTTCCCCATGGCTTCAGGACTCATAAAGCCCACCCACAAGCCTAGGCGGAAAGAAGCCCAAGCATCAGGGGCTTCTGAGCCCCACAGCACGCGCGCCTTTCCCAGTGGCCGCCCTCCGAGGTCGCGCGGCTCCAGCTTTCCCGCCGACCCTCCGAGGAGGGCGACGGGCCCCAGGGAGCGGCCCCGGCTCTGCCCCTCTCAACCCTCCGTCCCTCCTGACCCCAGCCGGGTCGAGCCGCTGGGGGCGCACGCCGGGGGTCGCCGGAAGCCTCGGTGGGGGAGGGGAGCCCCGAGTCCGGGTTTCCCGGCGCAACCGCCTCACCCGATGATGAGGAAGATGATGCGCAACGGTTCTGTGGCAATGGTGAAGACGTAGAGGGCGAGCGCAGGCCCGAAGGCAATAAAGGCGCAGCCGAAGAACACGGTCGCCGTCATGGTGACAAGAGAAGCCGGCCTGGGGGCCAAGCCGCGACGTGAGGTGCGCCCAGCGCCCGCAGAGCTAACCGCCGGGCGGGGCGGGGCGGGGCGGGGCGGGGCGGGCGGGGCGGAGATGGAGGCCTGACAGGACTGGGGGCGGGGCGGGAGGGGCGGAGATGGAGGCCTGACAGGGCTGGGGCGGGGCGGACGAGGGGAAGGCGCAGGGGCGGGGCGGGGGCGGGGCGAGCGGTGGGGCGGGCGAGGGGCGGGGCGGAGGCGGAGACTGCGCGGGGCGGGAGGCTGGCGCGGGCCTGGAGGCGGGCGGAAGGGGCCGGTGGAAGACATTAAAGCGCAGGGCAAGAGGCAGGGTGGAGGCGGGGTGAAGATGGGGCGGGGTGGAGGGGGCGCGCTCCTCATAACTCTCCTCTCAGCCCCACTTGGCTTCCGGGCCGCCCCTCCCGGCGCCCCAGTTCCTGATCCCGGGGTGAGATTCGCTGGCGACTTTAGGGCGGGCAAGGTAGGGATCCCCGCCCCCGCCACAGATGCACGTCGCCGGCAGCGAGGTGTAGTGAGAGGACAGGTCCGCACCCCGCTTTGGAGGCAGAACGAGGAATGGTTCCTTAGCAACTCAAGAAAAACAGCTCAAGACAGCGACAGGATTCCATCTCTAAATAAAAGAGCCTTGAATCTTTTTCACCCCCTGCATCTCTGGCCTGTGCCCCAGTTTTTGTATGCATGAATAAGTAAATCTTTAAAAAAAAAAAAAGAGCCTTTTGTAAAGCACGTTTTACCATTTGCATAGTTGCAGGAACTTCATTCTCCGCCAGGTAGAAATCCCGAGCTGGGATAGCGGTGACCCAGGCAATAACTCACCGTAAAAGGATGACACGGTGGTGAAGATGCTGTCCTTTTTAGGGTTATTTTGGCGATCTGGTTTTATTCCGCCCCGTCCCCGGACCACTACGTCCTCAAAAACGTTGTTTTTGGGGCCTCCGCGGTGGCGCAGTGGTTGAGCGCTGGGTTGCGAAGCTGCCCGCAGCCTCTGCAGCACCGCTTCGATCCCCGGCTGCTCCCCGGCCACTGGAGGAGGGTCCCACATGGCGCGCAGACCTCTCCTGCCGCCCGCTGCTCCCCTCAGCAGTGTACTTCGGTCCTTCTGCCTGCTCTGCTCCCCGCTCTGGCTCTGGTGAATTCTCTCACGCTCCCGCGCTTCTGACTGTACCCAGTGCTTGTATAAATAAATATATAAATCTTTAAAAAAAAAAGAATATTATAAAAAAAAAAAAACGTTGTTTTTGAAGGTCTTCTCTAACCACTCTATAATAAAGGTAACATCTCCCTGCATTTTTTACCAGCTCATTTGTCTCCTCCATTAAAATGTAAACTTTTGGAGGGTAGGTACTTTGTTTTTGTTCTTTGTTGTTCCCTAGTACCCAGAAGGTGCTCACTAAATAAATGTTCACTGAATGTTTTGAAAATAAATGAAACTTATAAATATTTGCTATTTTTATATTAGTTTAACCATTTCTGAAAGGTCTAAAAATGAAAACCGGAAGTTTAAGTTTCCTAATCATCTTGATTTTCCTCCATGTTTAATAGAAATAATATCTTGTAGGTTATTAATAGGAATAATAACAACAGCTTATAGGTTATTCTGAAAAGTGTAGCTAAACTGCTAGCCACTCCTACTTATTCTTTAATTCTATCATTTAAAAAGCTCTTGGAAATCAACATTGAAAAAAAAAACACCAGTAGACAAGAGTTGGAACCTAACTGAAGTTGTTTTGCAGTTCACCTCTGAAAATGGACCTTCAAATAATACAACCATACGTATTCAGGTTTATGGGGAAATGTTACCTTTGCCCACATAACAGATACACATATTTCCATTCATTACACAGAAAATTTCAGATACCCGTGGTTTGCCATTTTGAATGGTTCTTAATCTGAAACTCAGGTTGAGACCGTAGTTCTAAATGATAGAACAACTCACTACTGGACAGATTATTGTGTTCTATCCTGATCAAGGTGATCAAATGCAATTCCATTACTTCAGCTCCATGCAGAAATGTCTTCACAGAAGCATAATATACTCATTCTTAGTGTAAATTAAGATTTTATATAAGAAAGGGCCACATACATTTTTCCTGTATGTTAAAAAAAAATGTTTCATTATTATTGTTTAATATCTGTAATAGAGTCATGCTTTATAATTTAAGTCTAGAAAAAAAGTTTTGCTTCTCTTGATCAATGCTTACATTCATCATGTTCAGGTTTTACCTTAAATTAACAGCTAGAAAGCATGGAGCTAAATTTAATACTCAAATATAGCAACTAATCTTTTAGTTTCTTTAAATTAGAATTAATTCCATGACTTTAGGATATCACTTTTTAAAAATCTGTCTTAGTTATTTTATTGCTCCAGTTTTAACCCAAATATATGTATCTTGGTTAAAGCTGCCTCAAGTACTTTGGAAGTCTTTCCAAGAAGCCTTTGCTGAGTCTTCAAAGGTAATTAGAAGTTAGCCAGAAAAAAAGGTAGAAATACAGCAGAGAAAGCAGCATAAAGGAATGAAAAAATATATATGTTTAGGGAATTGCAATTTTATTGATGAGGTTTAAAGTTGGGTATGACATAATCAAAGCTTTTTTTTTTTTTTTTTTTTTTTTGGCCAGGCTAAAGAGTTTAGGTATTACCCGAAGGTTATGAGATATCACTGAAAAAGCAAACTTGGCAGTGACATAGATTCAGGTTTAAAAGCTAGATTGGAGTAAAATAAGATTAGAGATGGGAGAGGCTGCAGAGTTGTAGGCAAAAGATGAGGATGCCAGAACAAAGACGGGCAAAAATCACTGACAAGTGGATAGATTAAAAAAGCATTAAGGAGTTAGGACATGGAGGCCGATTAACTCTTGGGGATCTAGGTATATAACAGTGCTGTCAGTGAAAAAAGAAGAACCAGTTTCTCTTCTGGGGCTAAGGGTTGCCAGTGGGAATTGCTGGGAAGGGAGGAAAGCTGGAGAGGAGTTTGAGTTTCAGATTTGTTGTTTGATGTGCTGATAGCAGATCCCAGGGAGGTAAATGTCCAGTAAGCAAATCAACTTTGAAATCTGGCACTATATGGAAAGAGGCTGGGTCTTGAGATAGAAATTTGAATTGTGTTAATTTCCTATAGTTACTGTAACAAATTACCAACAACTTAGTGGCTTAAAGGAGCACAAGTTTATTCTTTTATAGTTCTGGTGGTCTGAATTAGATATGAATTTTATCAGGCTAAAATCAAGGTGTCAGGATAGGGTTGGCTCCTTTGGGGGACTTAGTGGAAAATCTATTCTTCGACCTTTTCTATATTTAAAGGCTACTTATAGTCCTTGACTCACAGTCCTATAGCCCTGCATGCCTACATCAAGTTATCTTTTCTCCCTGTTTCTGTACTACATTGTTTCCCGTAACCCTCTCATTAGTATCAACAGAACTCACCTGAATAATCCAGCGTCAACTCCTCTTTCAAGATCCTTAATTTCACATCTGCAGTGCTCCTGCTGCCATATAAAGTGACATTGAGAGGTTCCAGGGATTAGGACATGAACATCCTTGGTTCGTCAGTGTTCAGCCTAACACAGAAGCTACAAGCTTTTAAGAGTTACAGAAAGGGGAGTCAGGAAAATAATGTTAAAATGGGGAGTCAGAAGAATACTGTCAAAGAAGTTAAGGAGAGAGAACATCTGGGGGGGGGGGTAGAAATATAATGGTCAAATGCTACCAAGAGGTTAACCAAGATAAAGACTGAAATTTTGCTGCTTTAGAAAGTAGGCTGTTGCAAGCAAAATGCTGGTGAAGTGGCAGGGGTGCAGGCCAGACTGGAGGCTGCTGAGGAATAAATGGAAAATGGTGAAATGAAGACAGTGGCTACAGGCAATTCTTCAAAGAAGCTCAGATATGCCAAGAAGAGAAGGAAAGAGAGCAATACGTAACAGAGGGATTTGAGGCAAAAGGGGAGAAAGGTAAGGGTGCTTAGCTGCTGAGGGGAAAGAATAAAACAGGGTAACAGTTGGAAGGTATGAGAGAAAGAGCTGTGAATTTCCTGAGAAACAAGATAGAGGTGGGAGGATGAATCCAGAGAAAGCCCAGCATAGGAGGAATGCCTCTCCTACAAGAGGAAGAAGGTGGCAAGGATGAGGCTATAGGTTGGGAAGGGAGTAGCAGCAAGGGTGTTTTTAGACAGGTAGTTTTCTGTGCCAAGACAGTGAGGATCTGACTCGAGAGAGAGGAAAGAGTAGGGAGCTTGAAAAGAATACTGCAAAGCAAAGGCTGTGATTGGAACCTGCAGGGGTAGAAGAAGTGACATCAATATAGCTGGTCCCTCAAATTGTATTATTTGAGAGTGAAAATAAAACAACAGGAACTAAACATGCCAGGACAACAAGGGTGGGATAATCAATTTAAAGTGCAGTTCTACAATTATCTCAATGTATTGTGAACTAAGTATGAGTAGGAGACCTGGCCATTTTTAAGTCTTTAAAAAATTCTAGGTGTGACACAGAGTTTACTAAAAGACTTCAAGTTTCCCATGTTTTGAGGTACACACTTAGCAAATTTGAAGAAATATTTTTAAAACATGCAATCCATTTCAGAAAGTCATGAGTATTTTCATTATGTAGTTTTTATTTTAGACGAACATTATTGTAAAAAAAAGTTCACCGGCATAAAATCCATTTTTTTTTTAAAAAACACAGCATCAGTATCAGTACACAGTTAATGAATTGTTTTAAACAAGATTAACCACATGACAGATCCACTTTATTTGCAGGATTTTTTTCACATCAAGCCATGAAGCAAAAGTAAAATATGCTAAATCAAATACAATAGAATAAATCTATGGAAAAGCTAAATTGTTTCCATCAGGGACTTGATTTTCGTGAAATAGTTTATGGTATTTTGCATTAAAAGAATTGCAGTGTCAGCTGCAAACAAATAAAGCCCATTTATTAGCTCATAGAATTGAATTATAATAATTAAATTCACATTTTTAAAAAAGGTAAGAAAATGAAACAAGACATTCTATTAGTTCTTGGCAATAAGAAATGCAATTGCAT